GGGATCACCGCCGCAATTTGTCGCTGGTAATCTGCGTCCTTAAAACTTCGTATACCGAGGTATAGGAAATTGAATATTCATGTATTTGTTGGTGCTTGGTATGATCTCATGACAAATCAATTTTAATGATTGCGCAGTTGCTTGCATTACACTGTGTGCCCTAAAGCTGTTTGTGCAGCCATTGCCCTCAATAAACTCTTTCTTCTCGAGTTATTTGGGAATAAATAGCCCGGTTGTTTACAAGATTGGGTGTTTTGTTTGAATCATTTGTATTATGGCATTTGCAAAAAAGCGTATTTTATAAGATTTTTCACGATCACTCCCTGCGATGAAATAGCGCATTTTGTTCCAAATGAACTAAGCTTCCAGTAGTGAACATTTTGATGGCCATTCTTAGCCAAATTCGTAGCAAGTCTTTGAACACTGATGTATTTGACGGAGGAGAATAGAATAAACTTTGCATGGATAATGAAACAGTGTGTCAAAATGTAAAAGTTTATTTACGATGGAAGACGTGGGTCTAATATCAGGAATTTTTTTCTCTCTCTATTTCCTGGTCACATAGATAATTTGTATTTAATTGCAAGCAAAAAACTACAAGGATATCACTGGCCCTGCTTGTCCGGCTAAGATGCAGGCAGCAATAAGACATTTTTGGAATGTTTTCTATTATTCGTATGGCTCGGCGGCGACCATCATTGAACGCTTTGAAGAGCCTGAGTTACAACTCTCTCTGTGTCCTTCCTCTATGATAAACCACTGTCAATCTGAACACTCTGAAAAGGTACATTAGTATATTGCGTATTGCTGCCAAAAGCGAACAAAAATTTCCTTTAAACGACTTCCTATCTAATTTAAACAACTTACTATCTCATTTGAACGACTTAGCTATACATGTAATTAGAAATAACGATCTAGCGATATTGTGTTTAAACGAGATGATAAGTCATTATCACGAGATACATGTAATCAATTGTTAGATGAGATTTGAAGCTTTTCATGGTGGAGGTAGTCTTGGTTCCAAGACCTCCCAGTTGTTACACGATACGAACCATTAAATAAATCAACGGAGCATCATGCGCGAGTCCCAGTCTGAGTGTTTTTCCACTGGCAAATAAGGCTACACGTACTGTACATGTACACACATGTACATGTACGTAAATGTAGTATTTGTACATGTACGTGTACAGGGCGCTATTACCTCACGAATCGTTATCACAGGAAAAATGAGCCCGTCTACTTATAAGCGTAATTTTCGTTGTTATTCCAGTTGATCTCGCTTATTGCCTATTTTCAAAGCAACATTTTGGTATAAGAGTGTGTATAAAGTGCCCGTCAGATCTGATCAAAAGGAATTGTACTTCTGATTCTTTCTGCTCCAGTCTTATCCAGGTTGTCAGAGTCAAACAACCGAGCTGAGCACGCACAGAATACTTTAAATGACCCTCAGTCGTAACATTGTTAACTGATATTGTGA